GAGCTCAGTGTTCGGTAGACACGTGGAGGAGCGAGGACAGAAACAACGTGTTTATTTTGTGGAAAATTGTTGAGGTATAAAAGTATTATTTTACGTGTAGACGAACGAATCATGGCGCTGAAAGTACGTGTTGCGGTGACGGTGTTTCGTTGACTTTTCTTGCGGTGATGCGGTGTTTAGAACCCCCCGATGTCCCCCTCACTACGGGGTGAGACTGTGCTGCTCGACGTCTCCAGACATCCACAGTTGATTTTGTTGAAGAAGATGAAACATGACTGGCTTTCCATATATCTAGTGGGTAAGACGGCAACAACATCACGACCACGCGGTAAGTTGCCTCGAGACAGACTTGGTTAACCTTTAGATAAACGTTGGAATAGATGCTATTTCGAAATTGTTTCAAAAACAATTTCGACAATATTCTACAAAGCTCAACGCGACAAATTGCCTGATCAGAGAGGACCCCTCCCTGATGTTCTCAATTGTCACAGTAGCAGGTGATCAGATCCAACCACAAGGAGTGCTTTCCATGCATTATGCTAAAGATTCCGGAAATTTCGGTCGGAAGTCAAATTGAAAGGTCCGTTTCGGTTTCTTCCGACCGGAGTATTCAGGATCACCTCTGAAGGTGGTCCACTTATTTCGGCCATATTATTCCGACCGAAATTCCCTGTTCCACTTTTAACAAATTGGTTCATTGCCCACATAGGGAATTCGGAAAAGGACTAAAAAATCTTAAGAGCCATTCCTCTTGGTTGGCCCGGTTTGATCGGAAAATGTCGTTCCATTTTCCTCGATAAGTTCCACTGGTCTCTGACCAGTCGGTTTAGCATAATGTCACTAGTTTCTTCCGTCAAGCTCAAAAATAGTAGGCTCGATTTCCGCCGCTCTCTCGTGTCTGGTCTACGTTCCTCCCTGAGATGGGGGAGGAGCGCAGGCTCCTTTCCCGAACTGCGGCTGGAAATCGTGCCTATCGCAAAAGACGGTCAACCGTAAATATGATTGCTGCAATTTTTATTTAATTTTACACGCAATATATTTGCAGTTATTCCATTTGTGCATGCTAATTTTCACAATGTACTTTTTTCCTGTCACCAAATTGTTACTATTTTTAAGAAAGCGCAAATTTTTATGTGGCAAAAATTTCGTTAGAGTCAGTAGATACCTCGGAACACCCATTTTTTTTCAGCCGCGTCTCTCTAGTAACTTAGTTACTTCCTGATTATTATTTCTTTGTGCGAGTCTGTGGTGAATGAGTAGTCTAAACATTCTTTTGTGAGTGAATTTGTGGATTTTGTACACAGTGTTCAGAAATAAACATAACAAAGAAAAAGTCCGATGGTTGAATGGGTCAATCTGCGAAACACGAAAAAGCGGCTTGATCCTGGCCCTGTAAACATCACACCAGTTTGCCGAGCTTTAGTTAACTATAATTAACAGATCTTCGCACACTACGTTGAGGTCACTTCTCAGCCGAGAATGAGTTTCGTTGACGCGATTTTTTGTCTTTTCATTTGCAGCTTACTGTTTCACCCAGCCAGTAGCGTGACGAATGCATCGAACCAAGTTGCGTCCAACAAAACGCCAGTTGTTTCTCCGTCGACCAAATGCCACAACGTGCACTTCAACAACTATTACTCAGGACCGCCAAACAAAGATATCAAGGCGCATCTCATCAAAATACAGAATCAACTAGCAGATGCACAGAAAAAACTCGTTGCAATGACGGGGAACAAAACTTTTAAGCCAGGTAAGTGAACACTACGGATAAAATTCTTTCGCTTTCTCGTTGCTCGCTGTCATGTACTGAAATAACTCTATACTTTTGCAGTGAAGAAAAACTGTGCTGAGCTGTATAAATCTGGCAAAAGAATCAACGGTGTTTACACAATCGACCCCGATGATTCAGGTGCCTTTGATGTCTTCTGCGACCAAACAACAGCCGGTGGAGGGTGGACGGTATTCCAGAAAAGATTGGATGGCTCCGTTGATTTCAGCACCCGCGGTTGGCCCGACTACAAGCGTGGTTTTGGTAATCTGAATGGTGAGTTTTGGCTGGGATTGGACAAAATTAACCGCCTGACGAAGGCAAAGAACAGACTGCGAGTGGATCTCGAAGATACACAAGGAAAGACTGCATACGCTGAGTACGACGTTTTTGCTGTTTCGAGTGAAAGAAGCAACTATGAACTCAGTCTTGGAAAATAATCCGGTAGGCGTTTATGCAATAATTATATGTTTACATCGATTTAGATCAGTTTTTCAAAGTAACAAAACCATCTAGTCTTCCTCTCAATGCCTTGTTTTGGGAAGGCAAGGATTCATAGACAACA